ACTGGACAACATAAATATATCTCAGAAATATATTTATCTGGTTTAATTGTACAATTTGGACAACAAAACTCTATTCACAGAACCTGATTGTGAATCAAAGAACGCCATTTCTTGGAAACAAGAGTGAATTTAGCAAGAGTTTTGGGCGGTAACCTTGAGAGTATTTCGATAACGATTTCTTCAGGAAGGTTTCCTTGCCACTTTTTCTTCCCTAAAATTGTTGGCAGAGCTAGGGTTTGCATTCTTCCCTTTTTACAAACCGTTCACGGGCTAGTTTTTTTTTTTTAGCTCTCATGCATGATCAAATAGATACTATAATATATACTGGTTGGTGTGTTGTATTATTAAATTTGTGAAATATAAAGTTTGATTTTGATAAATTTTTAAAATATAAAATTTGATTTTAATTTAAAACTATATATATTTCCTTTCATATTGGGGCTCTTAGGTTCAAATTCCATCCAACTTATAAGGTAATTATCAATAGATTCTAATAGTTTGAGTTAATTTTTATCAAATTCTATTGAAAATTAGTCTGAGTAAAATCGTTGTTAAAAATAATTTTTTATAACGATTTTTTACATACATCATTAAAAATTGACAATTAGTGACTCTTTTTTTTTTTGGTCATGATTTTTATAAATTGCAGTTAAAACTTATAATTAATGATTTTTTTGTGACGAATTTTTCAAACTGTCGCTGAAAGTTAAAACTTAATGATATTTTTTTGTGATAATTTTTTAAAATTCTCGCTAAAAATTAATAATTAGTGACGTTTTTTAATAATGTTTGATGAAAAATGCTATTACTTATCATAGGACCTATTGGACTAAATTCGCCAATTAGGACCTATACATAAATCTCTCCATTTTATATTGTATTTCTTCTTTTCTTTTTTTTTAGATAGTGTTATATTGTGTATCTTATTCAATATTTGAATTATCTTAGAATTAGGAAGAGTGATTAATAAAAAGGGATTTTTTTTTTTTAAGATCCTTTATATTAAGATTTTATAAGATAAAGGACATACAATATTTTCATAATAATTAAGGTCCTTCAACATTTTTACAGAAAAAATTCGACTCTGAGAAATTTCACTCACTCAGAGAAATTTCACCCGATTTAGAAAAATTTTGGTCCCGACACAAAAGAATTTCAATTTTAACAAAGAAATTTTGAAATTTCTCTGGTATGATCATAGAGAAATTTCATTGAGGGATCTTACCTAATCAAAAAAAAAAATCTTCGACCTCTCCTACTATACAAAGTCAGAGAGGGATATTTCACTAATTTTTCCTTAATAGAATCTTAACAATTTTATAATTTAAAGAATTAATTTTAATCTCTTAGTTTTTTATTTTTTATTTCACCCCCTTCTTTTAGGACTCAATTGTCCCCCCATATGAGAATATTGTATCTGGCATCTAGATAGACTATTGTATCTGGCATCTCAATCACAATTCTCTTAATCAAACACGAATTATGTTTTTATATTAAATTATTAATTCAATCTACATGACATGTCCCTAAATAAATAAGGAAAATGACATTTCAATGGTAAAATTTACCTTTTCGTGGTGATGTAGTTCTACCGTGTATATTGTGAAAATTCATTCTTGTGTTTGGTGTAACTCTTCTTTTATATCAAAGTTACACAATTTTCATTTTTGTTTTTAATATTGTAATTATTTTGTGACTGTCACAATCACCTAATATGACTTGCTTTGTTATCCTAGTGCACCATCAACATACCGCCACAAAAATAGCTAGACTATTAAGACTTGTTATTTTAAAATAAAATATTAATTAAAATAATATTTAATTATTAAAATACCAACACTACATTTTTTGTGAGAACAGTGATATATTTTTGGATAAACTATAAATACACTTTTAAAGTTTGCTTAAAATACAAATTACCTAATGTGATTCTAAAAATTACAAATATCTCTTGTCAAAATTTCTTTATTTAACCGAATTAATAGAAAAAGTAAAATCCTTATCTACTCTTTTATGCAACAATAAATTTATCAAAATTATTAATTTAAAATATTTTTGACATTATTAAAAACTGTTAATTAACTTAATGATTAATTAATAAAAGTGATAATTTGTTATGAGATTAAAATTTTGAAGAAGCAGGATATAATTTTCAAAATTATATAAGACAATTCGTATTTTAAAAAATCTCAAGAGAGGTATATTTGTAATTTACACTATATTTTTTAAGGGGGACATAACAAGCAGCACAATGCTCCTGTTGCCAAATAATTATATTATTATTTTTGTTATCGGTAAAAAACAAAACAAAACAAAACATATGAGTTACAACCTTTAAAAACCAACTGTTTGCAACCAAGTCACTCAGTTTAGCAATACATTATAAGCTTATTTGTGTAAATATTTATTTAATAATGTTACGATAATTATATTTCTTTGTCACGCTTAGTCTACCATATGAATTCTCATCACCAGATTACCACTAATGTCTGTTTTCGACAAAATGGTGTGGAATTACATGATAAATCAAATATAATATAAAATTATGATCACTGTATGATTATTGATACAATAAGGGCATGTTCGATTGGAAAGATTAAAGTATGGAATTGAGATTATTAATCCGTGAGTCCAATTATCCTTTGTTTGTTTTGACATTTTGGTTTAAGATTATTAATCTAATGGATAATTAATCCAACAAATTTGTAGAATTATTAATAATGGGGTAGAGGTGGGATAGTGAATACCACACTAATTTGATAAGATTATTAATATCTCACTATTAGTCTTGTGAATCAAACATGGCCTAAGGGTGTGTTTGTTTGGAAGGACTGGATAAGGGGGAATTGTAATCTACCAGACTGTTAGTCTTGGAATACATTGTCCCAGACTACTTGGTTGGAATTGATTTATATCCTAGATTTGTTTCATCATGGGATTAGATGTCTGGATTGGACAATTCTATTGAATCCTATCTTTGTTTGGGATATTATGGAGAATGATAAATGTTCAAAATACTATTTTGCCTTTTTAAATTATTTACTAAATAAAAGAAATATTAAATCTGAATTATAATTTTTTTTACTAGAACTTTTAAAAATTAAATAAATAGAATATTAATAAAAATTACATAAATTTATTTTAATTTGTAGTTGAGATTTTTAAATTTTATTTTACTTTACCAAGTATAATTAATACCATATTATTAAAATAGGTAATTTAATAAAGTATAAATAATTCAATAAATAAATTTTATTAAGTATAAATAATTTAATAAATAAATTTTATTTTTAAAAAGATATTAAATAGTAGAGGGTCAAAAATGTAATTTGATTACCGAATATCATGGGATGAGTTATCTCATGATTTGTATCCCCCCATGAGGTACAATAGTCCATCATATTTGGGATTAATATTTCTGTGCAAAAAATTTCAATCAAACAACGGACTAAACCAACTATTAGTCTGGATGGACTATTAGTCCTATCCCATGTGCCAATCCTTCCAAACAAACACCACCTAAATGTGGGAGTTAGACTTATAAGCCATGTTTATCTGACTCTTTAGGTAGAGGGATTGAACTAATAGTCTCTGGGGCTCACTTAAAGAGTGTTTGGTTGGGGACATGAGTGAGAGGATTAACTATCCTGTTGGACTAGTAATTCTCCCATGTGATAGGACTAACGAAGTCATGGGAGGGTTGAGATAAAAAATTTAGTGAGAGGATTAATTTTATATATTAATACTATGTATTACTAATCTGGTGATATGCAAACAAATACTCTTTATCCTACATCTGTAACTTAATACCACCACACTAATAATCTCCTCACTCAATCTCATCGTATTCTCAATCTCTTCCATCCTATGGAGCCAAACAAGCGAGGCCATACATCCATATTTTTCTGGATGAGTGATTGTGGTGCAACCCAAACCCAACCCATATTTCATAAAAAGTCAAAAAGTGCACTTATTTAGTCTTCTCAAACTAGGCCTAATACTATGTATTACTAATCTGGTGATATGCAAACAAATACTCTTTATCCTACATCTGTAACTTAATACCACCACAGTAATAATCTCCTCACTCAATCTCATCGTATTCTCAATCTCTTCCATCCTATGGAGCCAAACAAGCGAGGCCATACATCCATATTTTTCTGGATGAGTGATTGTGGTGAAAATTCAATTTGTGTAGTATGAGATTTACATGTAGAATAAATTTAAGTCACAAAATGATAATTCTAAATAATTTATGAATAATTAAGTTGAGATAACACACATCATAATACAAAGTAAAACAACTGATTTCAACTAAAAACAACTCAAATCACAAATTAAATGGTTAAGCACAATATTCCAACGTGATCTGAATATCTATTAATCAAAAAGCAAGCATAATTGATCTCTAATCAAATTTATTATTATTATTATTATTATTATTATTATTATTATTATTATTTAAAAGTTCTATTAATCTTCAAATGTGTTTGGTGGTATGTTCTTCCTTTATGAAGCGCAACTCACCATATTTCCAATGATCTCTTACCTTTTTAATTTTTCGCCAAGAGCCTGAGAGCCATGTTTCGACATATGTTACTTCTCCCCTCAACTCTTCCTCCTCCCAATTGTTGTCAGGAGGTGTAACTAAACTTTCCTCATATACAATTGCATTCAAATAGTTACGTTTGTTTGGAATTCTAACTTTCCTTTGAGAGTTGTCAATAGGATTGTAAGCTCGTATATGATCCATGGCAACTTTCATTAGAACTTCACCATTCTTTGCAAAACACAATGGCACTAGCTCATTATAGATATTTATATTGGGAATATTTGATAAGATGAACATAGTAATCCAAGATTCTTGCTTACCATATTCTTTCATTGCCAATACCTCAACAATACCCACATGATGGCTTGAATGCTCCTCACAGCAACGAACCATACAAAGGCATCCTTCCAAAACTCCCAAACCAAATAGAATATCTCCATCTCCAACCTTAGGCTGTGGCATTGGTAACTTCTTGAATTTGTTCATTCTTCTTGAATTTGTTCATTCGTGGATTGAAGTAAACGATTTCATGGGGTGCGAGGAAGTGATCCGAACTTTTCTTAGAAGCAAACCAATGTAGATTTTCATTCAGCACGGGCCCTGAATTCACACTGGAGAAACGGTATGGGAAGTGAACTTCGGTCCAAGTTTTGCTTCGGAAATTACCAACCACAGCAAATTCACCACCATAACTAGGAGTCAGATGAGAAAGGGCCATTACAGCCTTGTACTCATTACTCAAGGAATCAAAGCAAAGCCCAGAAACAATAGAGTAGGCCTCATCATGCAAGTCCTCGTATCCCAGGACTTTCTTCGAACACCTGGTGAGCGGAATCCATAAGAACAAATCATCGTGAACCCCAATAAGAATCAACCCATTACACGAACCAAAGATTTCAACATCACCATGAGATGGGTTTTTTTGGTTTGGTTTAGGAACGCGTTTCACGCAACAATCTTCATCGATGGAGTAAAGAGAAGAAAACATTCCACAAACGAGAACCTTGTGTTTTGGAACAACGCTTTTCACAGAACCTGATTGAATCAAAGAACGCCATTTCTTGGAAACGAGATTGAATTGGAGGAGTGATTTGAGAGGTAATCTTGAGAGTATTTCGATAAGGATTTCTTCAGGAAGGTTTAGTAGATTGAGTTCTGATGTTGCTTTGATTTGGGTTTTTTCATTCTCTCTCCTTCTTCTTCTTCTTCTTCTTCTTCCTCCACGACGCTTTCTCTTCCTTAAAATTGTTCGGATAGCTAGGGTTTGCATTGTTCCCTGAAATCTGAACAATGAGCACTGTTTTGCTAATACACAAGGGTTAGCTATATATATTTAGGCCAAATTACACCTTTTGAACCTTGGGTTATTTTAGATGTTATGCGTTTAATTTTAACTATTAATCTTAAATTTTATGTCAATTTACTCTAATCAATAATATTATTAGTGATTTTTATGATAAATTATTATCAAATTGGTTGATATTAACGTACTGAGTTTAGTAAATTTATAATTTTATTCTTAGAATAATTAAATAAGCACTTTTATTTGTTATAAATTGTCACATTACATTTAAATCAAAATTGAGTGCTGCTATTAGTACTTACTAAATTTCTTTGAACCCTGCAATTCTCACTTTTTTTTATTACCATTATACCCTTAAGTAAAATTATATTAAAGTACAACTTTTAATGGAATACACACCCACTAAATGAAAATAATTAGAATGACACTTTACAATATTGTACACCCACTTCCATCCACATCTATACATATTCCTAACTAATCGAAACCTTAAAATCGTATTCTTCTTTATCACCATCCTAAACCCACATATTCATCTTCAATGAAAAACATTTAAAACCACCTAATCAGTTAACATTTTGTCCGGTGGTTTCAAATGTGTTTGGTGTTCCAAATTATTTAACATTGCAAACAATCCTATTACAGACTCCAATTTTCTATATTTGTGTATTGGGAAATTGATAAAAAGTTAACCTTTTTGGTTTTTTTTTGCTAAAAAGATGGTTTTTTGTGACTTTTGTGTAAAAAAAACTAAAAGGCCAAAAAACTGATTTTTTACCAACTTTTCAAATTGCCCCTAATGGAGAATAACGGCAATAATTCTAATGAGGTTGGTGTTGCAAGGGTAAATTTATCTATCTTGCAATTACGATTTTGGGTCGTTTTTAGTTCGATACTAGTTTGTTGACTGTTAAGGTTATATTTAGTAATACAGTGTTAAACATAAACATTTAATTCAGTAATATAGTGCTAAACATAAACATTTTATTCGACACTAGAATACTGGACGGTTCCATTTTGTAATATTTTCCCTCTATTTCTGTTTTTTCTAAGAGTTTTTTCCTCTAAAACCTCTTGTATCAAGGGTTTTACCCCAAAATAAACAAAAAAATAATAAGAAAAATTATGCAAATAGTCCCTGTAGTTTACACGATGTGTCAATTTAGTCCCTGTAGTTTCAATTTGCTCGATTTTGCTCCTTTATTTAATGGATTGTGTTATTTTAGTCCAATAAATAACGGTTGTTAAATTAATTTAACGGAAAGTTAAATAATGTGTCAATTTGGTCCCTGTATTTTTCACGATATGTCAATTTAGTCCTTGTCAAAATCAAGAAAATTGAAACTACAGGGATCAAATTGTCACATCGAATAAAGTACAGGGACCAAATTGACACATTTTTTGACCTTTCGTTAAATTAACTTAACAATCGTTATTTATTGGATTAAAATGACACAATCCGTTAAATTAAGGGACAAAATCGAGCAAATTGAAGTTACAGGGACTATTTGCATAATTTACCCAAAATAATAATATGTGATGGGGAGTTAGAGGTTATCTAAGAGAAGAAGAAAGAGACCGTCGAAGAGATTTTAGATGAGATTTTCGACTGATATACCGTCGTTTACGGTAATAAGGAGAAAGAGCCCATCGTTTATGAGAGAAGGAGAAGAGAGGGATAGTCGATTCCTCTATCAATCATTCATCGTTTACTGAGAGAAGAAGAAGAAAGGGCGTGCAAAATTAGGTGAGTGTGCATTTAGGTGTGATGATATTATGAATATGTATAAAATTAGTATTAAGTGAAGTATTTAAAGAAATCTTATTAAAATTTAAAGTTTAAGGTGAGACTTCAAAGAAATGAAAAGTCTAAAGAAATTAAACATGTGCTAATTGTAACCCTCTTAAAATTATATTCATCAAAACAACATAGGGACCTAACTATAAAACTACCGTCATAATTTATCCATAAACCTCTATAGATTTTGTGACTCGTGAATCGACAACGTATCATTCATTAATTCTATTATACAAAAATTACATGCAAGGCCATGAATATTGCTTCAGAGGATGCATTCAGAGGGGCCAGGTTTAATTTGGAAGCATTGGATTGAAGTCTCGTTTGGGTTTAGATTATTTTAATAATTTTTTAATTTTTTATGAAAAAAATATAAAAAAATAAAAAGAATAACACGATAATTTATAGTGATTTCTTAACTAAAATATATAATTCCTAAAAGATGCGTAAATGAGTTAGGCTTGAGATTATCAACCACTTTAGATTGTATATTTTATTTATCGTTTAAATTGATTTAGGATTATGAGAAGTAATTGATAAAATCATATCAATTTTGTAATATAGTCAATTAGTCTATGTTCTTAATTATTTGTGTGTCCCACTTCTCTTCGGAATAATCTTCCATATGGGGGTTATTGTTTCTTAATCAAACATGAAATTATTACTGTTATTTTTTTGATAAATTTTTAATCCAATCCCAATGACATGTTTCCCAAAACAAATACACAAGGCCGGCTCTCAGGTAAGGTGAGTAAGGACAGCAGTTAGGGCCCCCAATTCTGTCTAAAAAAATAGAATTCTAAAATAATTTTGATTTTAAACTATATTTGTTTCATTATTCCAGTCTTAATTATATTTGATTTATTAAAATAAAATTTGAATAGAGTGATCATTTCATCATGATGTTCATCTTTAGTTTTGATTTACTAAAAAGATTATAAGTGAAATTACTACCACTTTGAGACTATAGTAATTTTATGACTCAAGAATGACTCCATTCAATTCAATTTCAGTGAACTAAACATTGCATTATAATATTAGTAGTTTAAAAATGAAAGTTTAAACAAACAATTGAATTGGTAAATTATTTAAAAATAATGATGATTGTTTGCCAAATGTATGAATTATTTATAAAATATTATTTGCCTATTCATAAATTTTTTTTTTTTTAAAAAGTGAAATTATTCCAATTATCATTGCTACTAAATTTAATCACAATTGTTTAAATTTTTGTTTTTTAAAATTATATTTGTCAATTTTTATTTTTTTAAGACATGTACGTAGTTACAATTATTGAATCAATTTTTTTATATATATTTTTCTGTTAAATGATCTATACAGTACTTAAAAAACTAACAAATTAAATAATGAAAATAAGGGCCTATGAGTCCAAACTAGATCATTGGAAAACAATCTCATCCAGTAGCAGTCCAAGATTCTGTGAGACCTTAGGCTAAACATCAAAATGAAGTATTATCTTATTGGGTCTTTGAAAAATTAAAATCTCAAGCAATAGACTAAGTGGCCTAATAATTGAACAATCTCTAACCTCAGCCTAGATAACAACTATTCCAGCACAAAAAAAGAGTCTAACAACCAACTCAATGAATAATCCCATAATAAGGAAGAAATAACCAATACAACAAACAACCTCTGAGATAAATGTATATATAGGTGGCCAAGGGAGCTAACCCAATTCGTTGTCCCTAATATTTCACAAAATCAAAATACCAATTCTTATCAATAGATAAATTTGCAAATTCAGTGTTTGTTTGGCTCAATTAGAGGTTCAATTGAGACCGCTAATCCTATATATGGGATTGTTGAATCTGACAACTCCCTTCGACGATTAGTTCCCTTTCGGAATTGTCTTTTCTCCACTATTTAAATGTCAAAAATACTCTTTCAAATTTTATCTCATTCTAATCAAACAATCACATAGACCATAGTATACAATAATCTCATTCAACATTACCGCGGTACTCAAAAAATAAATATATGTAAGAATATTTCGTATTCTTTTATTCTCTTGGTCTTTGTCTAACAAAACTCAAGGAATGCATTACTGTTTTGTTATCCTCCTTGCACCGTCTTACTCTTGCTGCACCATTGTTGCCACCATTAAAAAGACATAAAATAATAGAGAAAGTCTGAAGTCCCAGACTTATTCAAAAAAATTTGGATGGGTAATTGTGTGATGGAAATTAATTTGAGAGACTTTTTTTTCTTTATAATCAGCGAAAAATGAACCATTATTGATGCAAAACCATACAAGAGAAGAGATTACAACAAATAAAGGAGGGGAAGAATAGCATGCATCATAGCAAACTACCCCAATCCCAACTAGGTTGGCATCAAGAAGAAAGCCCAATCATCTCAACCCCAGGAGTTTGGAGAGGAACCAAACCCAACAAGAAGAAAAAACAAACAAGAGAAACGAAAAAAACAATGGCAAGGACCAAGCTAACAGCAGCAGCAACTATGCTATCAGCCCAGAAAACACCCAACAGATCCCTATCAGCCCAACAGACACAAAAGCTCACAGCAAGGGACACACAACAGCTCACACAAAATCCCACTGCTAAGCCTAGAGAACTTACAGGCAGCTTCCCAGACTTGGACATGCACTGTGAATTGATGATCCCTAAACCCTTTCTCTAACCAAACAGCCACTCTCAAAACTTTATCAGATCAGGTAGACCTGCCACATTAGGGACAACAACCCTTCACAGCACCAGGAAAACCAGAACCTCAGGAATTCAGAAAATCAGCAATTCAGAACCTCAGGAATTCAGCAGATCAGCAGCAAACAAACGTTTACAGCATCAGCAAAACAACAAATCAGTAAAACAGGACCTCACGACCAAGACTAGAACCAAATAACAGAACAACAGCAAAACAGCACCCCAATGGGGCTCCAAACCAACCACCAGAACCAACCCAACCAGACACTGAATTTCTGCACAGATCAGCCAGAGACTAAACATCAACCGCACCACAGACTAAGAACCAGACTCCGGATTCCTTCACATAAAGCTGGATCAACCCAACCCCACTCACAATGCAACCTTACAGCTCGCCCCTGGAACCACCTCCCACACAGAATCTAATGTGATCCATATTGAAGATAAAATCATTCACTGTGAATATGTAATCCTTCCAAAACCAAGAGTTTACTCTGCATCTGGAACCAGCTACCCTGTTTCACACCTTGTTACACATAGTAGTAGACCTGCTTTAGGTTAGAAACAACATCATGCATTGAATACTTGAACTCTTTCAAAATTGAAGCAGTCCACAGAGCAACTCTAACCTTTACCAGATTATTTAGACCAGCCAAATCTGATTGTATCTCATTGAACAAACACTCATTCTTGAGTTTCCACACTGACCACATCACTGATAATGGGATTGTCTTCCAAATTTTTTTCACATTTTTCTTAAAAATTTTGTACCTGACCATCAATGTAATAGTGCCTCCACTGAACCAAACACTTCCTTGAACCACACAGTCAATCTAAACTTAATTAGGTCAGTCACACCTACTACACTAGGGGCAACATCCCTAAACGCGCATTCATTACGATGAATCCACAGAGGCCACATTACAACCAATGGAATAGCCTTCCACATCATTCTCTCTTTTCTGCTAAGCCTCACCTCTGCCCACCAATTGAGAATAGCCTCCACTGTACCTGGCAGTGCACCTTGAACATCCCACCATCTTAGCATTTCTGACCACACTCTCCAAGCAACTGAACATACCTGGTTAATTGACTCATCCACTGATTTGCACAAACTGCAGAGTGATGATGTATTAGCAGCCACAGCACCTATCCGGATGAGAAAGTCTGCTGTTTTTAACCTTCCTTTCCAAGCAAGCCAACCAAAAAATTGAACTCTAGGGGGATGATTTGACCCAAATCCTTTTAGTTATTGGTCTGAGGCTACCAAAGCCACTTGCCATAAATTTATAAACAGATTCAACTGAAAAAATTTCAGATTTTGAAGCATCCCAAACTAGAGTATCAACTGTGGATGGCCTCATAGCAGGACCTGCCCCTAACTAGCATACCAATCTGGTGGCCTCCATTCTTTCCCAATCATATAATTCCCTTCTGAACTGAAACGACCACTCACCAGTTTCCTCCTTCCTTTCCACCATTGCATATAGAGACTCTCCCTTATTCACTACCAATCTATTGAGAGACTTAATAGATGAACTTATTGTTCAATAGATCTTATGATAATTAATAGCATTTTTTATTAAGCACCATTAAAAATGTCACTAATTATAAGTTTTAGCGACAATTTAAAAAAATCGTCATAAAAGAAGTCATTAATTTTCAACTTTTATCAATAGTTTGAAAAACTTGTCACAGAAAAACGTTACTAATTGTAAGTTTTAGCGACAATTTAAAAAAGTCATTAATTATTAATTTTTAGTGAATATACAAAAAATTATTTTTAGCAACAATTTTACTAAGACTTATTTTTAATAGGACTTGATAGGAATTAAGTCAAACTATTAGGACCTATTGATAGTTTACCTAATTAATTTTGTATAGTGTAGGGTCCATGTGTAAAGATCGTAATTTTAGATAATTTTAAGTTTGAGTTTGTAATATTACTAAAATTAATAATATACAAATATTAAAAATGAAAAAAGAGAAAAATTACAATCAAAACAAAAAAAATTCAATGTTTGATGTAAATTAAATCCTATCTTTTTAATTATTTCAACATAAACTCCAAATTTTTAAAACGATATCAATTCTAACAATCTATTTATACTATTAGTTTCTAACAAATAAGGGGATGAGAAAGATTGGTAACCACACGTTAAAACACACCAAAATCAATTTAAAACGAGAGAGAACATATTAAAATGTTCCATTGCTTAATTATCTTTAATTTAAAAAGCCTGGCTTACTAACATGATCTAATGAACCAGCTGTCCTACCTACTTTATGATCAACTAATTTAAAGTTATTAACCAAAAAAAGAAATGAAATCAAAATCAATCTGAAACAATAAAAATGAAGTGACAGATTAGAGAATTCTTAATAAGATCTATTGAACAATAGGTTCATCTATTAAGTCTCTCAATAGATTGGTAGTGAATAAGGGAGAGTCTCTATATGCAATGGTGGAAAGGAAGGAGGAAACTGGTGAGTGGTCGTTTCAGTTCAGAAGGGAATTATATGATTGGGAAAGAATGGAGGCCACCAGATTGGTAGTGAATAAGGGAGAGTCTCTATATGCAAATGCTCCGGAAGCTGTCGCTAATACTTTTTGCGACGGTAATGTGGCTTTTTGCGACGGTAAGAGGGGGTCGCGACAAAGGGGGTTTCAAAAGAGCTTTCGCGACGGTATGTACCGTCACCATTAGTTTCTGCGACGGTAAGTTGTGTTTTTTGCGACGGTACTTTTCCTGTCGCAAATAATGGGAAAAAAATCAGTTTTAGCGACGGCACGTAATTCCCGTCGCTAAAAGTGAGTTTTTGAGACGGGAACATTACCGTCGTTAAAGGCTCTGGCATCTTATAAGTATTGGCGACGGCACGGTTACCGTCGGCTAAAGGTGTCCTGTACATTCAATAAGACAGCTTTTGCGACTGTGTTGGTACCGTCGCAAAAGCCTATTAATGGTTTTTGCGACGGGTTCTTCTCCCGTCTCAAAAAATAAAAAAAAAAAAAAAAACCCCTGCCGATAAATTATTAAAAAAATTAAAATAACCTGTATTAGATAAAAAATAAGTATAAAAAAATTCAAAAATTACAGAATAATATAAATACGTACATAAACAAAAATTGACAAATAATGAAAATTAATAATATTGTTCCATTCATAGCAATACATAAATAAAAATTCATAACAATAAAAATTATGCCATTTTGACTCTTTGTATCCTCTTTCTTTTCGCTAGGGGCCTGAAAGGGAATTTTCCACATATCTTGCATCTCCTCTCAACCCTTGCACATCCCAATTGTAGTCAATAGTAGGTGTAACTAAACTTTCCTCGTACACAACTGCGGTGGTGTAGTATTTCTCGGTTGGAATCCTAATATCCCTTTGTGAGTTGTCGTTAGGATTGTATCAAGGGCGGACCCAAGATTCATCGATGGGGTGGGCTACTATTAAGGTAAAATTATACAATATATTTTAAGTATAACAACATAAGAAAAAAGAGAATTTAATAATATAACCTAGATTAATATCTAAATTTATTGATTAGAAACAATCTAACTAAGTTATGCTCGACGAGTCTTTAAATATTCAAATTCATCGATTACAGAATCTAGATCAATTTTCCAAGTAAGGTCTCGTTCAAGGTAGAGAGACAAGCAATCGGCAAGAAACTCATCCCCCATTGAATTGCGAATGGCAGCTTTAACATGCTTCATACCCGAAAATGCTCTTTCCGTAGTCGCCATAGAAACAAGAAGGGTTGACACAAGACGAATCAATTTGTAGATCATGGTGTAATGCTCGAACTTTCTTGTCACAAATAGTTCTCGGCATAAATCGGCAAGGGTAGATATCTTATGAAACTCGGGATCACAAACAACATCAAGCTTATAATGCATTAATTGACATCTCAAAACATGGATGTCCTAATAAATGAAATCTTAGGGATAAAATTTCTCGGTAAGATTGCAAATATTTTCCACATTAAAAGACCTAAAATTGCCACTAGGATCCAAAGCCGAGCTAAGAGAAAGAAGTTCCACTATCCCATCATTAAATCGATGTTCTAACTCCATTAATTGAAAATCAATTGTAGAGTTGAATATGTCAAAGTGATAATGATGCTCAATTGTAATATGATTTTGTTGACGACAACGACTTGTACCCTCTTCATAAGGAGAACTCATATCATGCACCGCAACGTTATGTCGATTGCAAAATGACACCACATTTGCAAGAAAAATATCCCAATCATCTTGTCTAAGTTTTTGAAGGAGAGTTTTTGTTGTGGAGACTAATTTCATCACATTTAAGATATCTTGAGTTTTCTGTTGCAAGGCTTGACAAAGTATATTCATGATTCCGAAAATGTTGTTTATCAAGTGCAAGACGAATATTAATTCAAAGCTCTTCATTACTTTGTAAACACCATTAGCTTGCCCTCAAATTTGTTGATTTGTAATTTACTTGAGACTTTCAACAACTACACAAGATGCCTCATACATATCAATCAAGTTGTTAACAGAGTCATAATGCGAGCTCCAACGAATAGCTCCAGCTCGATGCAAGGTACCAATTTGATTGGCCCCTTTAGAAGATTGACGCTCACCACCAGCCAACATATTTTCAACCTCACTCTTATGAAAAGATTTTAACTCACCAAGGCACTTTGGAGAAGAAACAACAAAATTGACAATACAACTCTACTGAGAAAAAAAATTGCCAAACATTAGGCTCATCTTTTGCTTCTGCAATTAAGGCCAATTGCAAATGATGTGCAAAGCAATGTACATAATATGTATACGGGCAATCTCTAAGAAATAATTTTGAAATACCAATTTGATTGGCCCCTTTACCAGATTGACGCTCACCACTAGCCAACATATTTTCAACCTCACTCTTATGAAAAGATTTTAACTCACCAAGGCACTTTGGAGAAGAAGCAACAAAATTGACAATACAACTCTACTGAGAAAAAAATTGCTAAACATTAGGCTCATCTTTTGCTTCCTCAATTAAGGCCAATTGCAAACGATGTACAAAGCAATGTACATAATATGTATACGGGCAATCTTTAAGAAATAAAGCTTGAAATCCATTCCATTCGCCATGCATATTGCTAGCACGATCATACCCTTGACCACACATGTTTTGAATAGGGAGATTAAATCGAGAAAATATATTCGATATCTCCTTTTTAAAAGTCAATGCAGATCTATTATCGACACCCACGATATCAAAGAACCGTTCCACTAGCAGACCATCATTCTTGACGTATCTCAAAATAAGGGCCATTTGTTCTTTTTTAGACTCGTCTTGGGATTCATCAACAAGAATACAAAAATAACCTCCTGGAACTTCATCAAAATCACATTCTTGACTCTGTTAGCAAGTATATGCAAAATCTCCTTTTGGATCTTCAGAGAAGTGTATTTTGCATTTTGTGGAGCATTCTTTAATATAATGCTCTCAAGTGCATCATTTCCTCTCGCCTTGAACTTTAATAATTCAATTAGATTACCTTGGAATGAAATCGAGCTTTCGTCATGACCTCTAAAACCAAGTCCTTGAAGAGCAAGTACTTGAATGGTTTCAGTTGTTGCCTTTACCCGTATTCGATTCTTCAAAATCTCTTCTTTTGATTGCCCATTCAACATTTTTTCAATGTGTTAGGAATATTTCTTTAAATTGTCATGACTAATGACACAATGACTATATGATGAAGATGCAAGTCTGACATGAAGCAAAAAAACATATTTGGATCCATCATTTACTCTCTTCCAATTGTTAAACCCCTCATCAACAAGAATAGAATGCCTGATCGACTTATTTGGCTGATCAAACAAAAAAGCATGAAAAACAATATGCTTTATCTTTTGAAGAAGAATACTCTAGCCAAGAAAATTATTTAAACCAAATATGTTGAAATCGGCAATTCTGCTTTCCAAATGAGGACCTAGGATACTCAAGTTTAGGTTGATAAGGCCCTAAGCTCACATAAGCTCATCTAACCTCATCATATTGATTAACTGGTGTAGACGCGCCCGCGGAGGGGGGCCTCATGCTACTACAGTTCGGACTCGCGATTTTGTCGTCGCGGTTCTTAATCTGAACCAAAGAGTCCAAATCTGGCAAATCATTTTGAGAAACAGATTTTTGAAAAAGTAGTGCCAAACATGGACTGCTTTGCCAGATACAGAGTCGCCACCTAAATATTTTAAAATGGGAGAATTTAGGAAACCCTGACTCGGTGCCAAAGGCCACATGTCCGTCATCACCGGAGTTGTCTCGGCTCGGGAGCTTGGGTACGATCGGGGAAGGTCAGCTATGAGCACCCCCTTTCGCCCGGTACGAAGACCGGCCTCTACTAACTGTGATATCCGTTTTTGAAAACTTTATATGTTCTTAAACCAATTGTTAGCCTAGAATTACTATGTTATGCGCGCAGCAAACAAGTATAGACCAAATCGCCCAAATTGGAAATAAAACATTTTATGTTCGTTTTGAAAATGGTTTGCTACTCGTAAGTAGGCTAAAATGCAGGTTTCGCCACCTTCAAGTGGGCTTTTGGAAAAGATGGTTTTGCCACTATCTAGTGGGTTTTAAAAAAAATCGCAGTTTTAACGCATTATCCCAATTTAAGCAATTTGACCTCCACCCACAGGCATTCAAGCAGTTTATCTCATGTAAGCACTTAGCCGCATGGCAAGCATACTATTATGGCAACATTCACACGCATGCTGGATGCTAAAGCAAAAATACTTACATCGTACTCCGTGCCAAAACAATAGGTGGAATCGGGAGGGGAGCTGGCCCTGTTGGGATGTCTGTATCCTCTTGGACATTCCGGGCGTTTGGTGTCTCT